GATCTCAAAAACTCACTTTTCCTTTCCGTTCGCAGCAAAGAAGAGGTCCTTTGCCTTGCGGGGGCTTGGTAGGCAGGCCGTCTTCTGCGGCCCGGCTGTCGCTACAGTGACCGCGCTCGGCAGTCTTTGCCGCGCAAGATTCCACTCTCCACCAGAGGTGTCGAGTAGCTACTGCACAGCTAGGACGTAAGCGAACACTTCACTGAACCTACGCACAACAAAAGAGTTAGTTCAGCTCGACCCGCAGCGAACTGCAAAGCAGTCGAGAAGAGTGCATGTATGTAAAGCAACAAAACGATGACATGAGCAGTAAGACCTACAGCCTAAGGCGTAGCTACGGCTCACTAGCAAAAGGCTCAGGTTGGCTCGCCACAGCTGTGCGCAAGGCACAGTGGTGTTCGCAGCAAAAGTGCTGTGAAGACTGCGCTTGTTGCAGAGGTGCTGTGAGGTTTAGAGCTTAAGAGTACAGAGGCTGAGGAGGGGGGGGACATACCTTAAGCGCTAAGACAACGGCGGCTGCGCTGGTGGGTTTACCCCCCACACACAAAGGAGTGCAGCAGCGCAGCTTTTGTGGTGACAGCAAGTCTGCAACAACTGTCGTGGGCTGCAGGCTACGGCTAGTTACTCCGGTGGGTTTACCCCCCACACACAAGAGAGTGCAACGGAGTAACAGCATGATGCGACATGGCAATAACAGTCACTGATATGACAGACACTGTGGTAACGCTATGGAAAAGCCTGGCAATATCCACTGCAGTCTCCGGCCGGCCACTCGTCACGAGACGACCGAAAGCGTTTTAGCTTAGCTGCTGCACTTGGCACGGGAGCAGTCGGGTGGGTTTGTAGGTGTGCTGCGGCAACAAGGCTGAGGTAGAAACTAGGGAGTGTTAGGGCAGGGGGGGGTGCTACGGTGCAGCTACAGCAGCCAACACGTGTCGAACACAAAACTGCTGAGTGAAAGCAACGGCCGCCTCCTAGAGTTTAGTTGTAGCTTAAAGGTGGTCCTAAATGCGGGGTGGCCAATGCTTTCCCTGTGCAGCGAGCGATGCGGCAAAATGCGGGCTCTTAAACATGTTGTAGGCATATTAGGTAACAGTTGGTCTCAAGCCAAGAGCGCTGTGCTGTCTTTAGGGGTTTCGCCGCAACACCGTCGTCACTGAGCAGAAAGGACGGCTTGTCACCATCAACGGCCAGGGCACAACGGTAGTGACCTGCATGGACGCTATCACCCTCATGTGCCACAACGAAGCAAAGCTTGTAGGACACAGGCTGGGTGTCGAGTGTGGCCTCGTCGATAAAGCACGGCACATCAATCCTGGCTGCGGGGCTGAGTGTGACAGGTGTGTGCAGCTTATGAACCTGAGTGCCTACCTGTCTGTAACGCTTCAGTTGGAGGATGAGAAACGGCGGCGCCTTGAGCAGCGCAAAAGTGGCTTCCTGCGTGTGCCAGTCAGCAATTATTTGTTGTAGCGTCACTCCGTGCACCTGTTCTGGCATGGCTAAGGGCAACGGTGGAGGGGTGGCACCTTGATCCCTGCGCTCAATGACATCCCCATCATTGAGCCTGGCGGCCCAAGTGCCGGCGAAGGCATCAGAGCAAATCTTATGCAGAAGAAATGCTAAGAACTCAGAGGCACGAAGGAGGCTTGCCCAAGGGAGTAAGCCTGGCACATAGACGGGACGCTTAGCAGTGCCAGCGCGTAGGCTGCGGAAGGCCGGGGCAGAGGCTCCGTAGATGAGCGCTCCTGCTCTGTCGCCTGCCCAGAGCAGGCCGGTGACAGTGGCGTTAAGGTAGCAGACGTTGTGGGGGTTTTTAAGGTAGATAGGGTGGGGCCTTAGTCCTCCATCTTGTCTTGCTCCGGCCGCGCGCTCGAAGAACGGCCCTGGGGCTGGGTTGCTCGAAGAAGCGTCTGTGCTTCCTTCGACAGCACTTGCGCCAATGGCTGGCGGCGCTGGCGCTCCTTGGCGATACGGGTGCACATCAGACGGGTCGCGTTGCAGTCGGTGAGGAGAAGCATTGTCGCGAACAGCTGGTCGGCTTCCTCCCCTCGGGTGGCCACGGTCATCAGGAAGGTGAGGATATTGGAGTCGTAGCGCTCCGCCAGGGGGCGCGTGGCCCTGAACTTGTGCACCAAGCCGGAGTTGCTCAAGAGCTTCAGGAGCCGGGCGACACTGTCCAGTACTTGGGCGTGAGTGATCGGGGTGCGGCTCGTGTCGATGACCGCCTCCTTCCGCTCTGGGTTCCACTTGGAGTACGTCCAGCAAGGCGGGTTCGGGCTTGTGCCCGTGCTCGTTTCCTGCAGCCAGCCCTCCTTCAGGAAAGCTTCCTTCTGCTCCGGTTCCATTGCGTGGCGAAGCCTCTCGTGGAACTCGGTCATGTAGGCCAGGAGCAGGGTTGTCCGGAGGGAAAGGGACAGTCGTTCCGGCGTCTTGTCTTTGATCTGTTGCCACTGCTGAGCGATCGCATAGAAGTTGCTCGTGAATGACGGGATCGGGCGGTAAGTGCCGGTCGTCCTCGTTTCCATGTAGAAAAGGAAAGCGTTGTCGGCGCGGGTGGCCGCCAAGTCGTCCTCCTGGCGGAGGCTCAGCCTCGTCACGAGCGCGAGGAGGTTGCGAACGTCCTCTCCCGACACTTGGTCCGTCAGCTTGGGCTGGTCGTTGCTGTCCCACTGGTTCCAGTTGCTCCAGCCGCGGTTGTTCCTGGCCGTGTTGGTGGACTGCTTGCCTCCTTTGCCCTCGGGCTTGGACCACTTGCGGGGGCGGTCGTCCTCCTGCTGCTTCTCCGGTGCTGCCGCTGCCGCTGCCGCTGCAACGGACGGGAGGTGCTGCCCAAACACGTCCAGGACTTCCTGCTGCCCCTCCGTCGCCGCCGTCGTCGCCATGTGTGGTCCTGTGGTCGGGTAAGTCCGAGCTAAGCTTATGCAGCAAACAGGCTTGGTAGTATGCAACGCACTTCGGTGTGTGGAGCGCGCCTTTCTGCGCACCGGTGGGCTGGAACCCGCAAGCCTTGCAAACGCCTCTGTACTTGAGCCGGTGATGCATTTTCAACTCATTGCTGATGTCCTTATCCATTGTCCACTGTGTGGGGTGGGAGCGGCGCATGTGGGACTTAAAGCCGCCGGCCGTGGGGGCACACCACTGTCCACAGATGACACAATAGTATTTCAGCTGCTCGCCGCGTGACTCCGCAAAGTCAACCCAGTCTAAGCTGCAAGCTTGGAGGACCGCAGCTTGTCGACTAAGTGGGAGCTCAGAGGGCCCCAAAACTGTGACATCAGCCTCCGGCACAGTATCCAGTCCCCGCTCCTCAGTGGGCGTGCGTGTCGGGTACGAGCTTGCGGGGGGGTCTGCGGGAGTAGTGTCATGGTGAGGGGTGGGGGGGGGTGATGTCAAAACGGGCGCGGGTCCCGCAGCGGACTGCTCAGCAGACCCTGGCGCCGTTTCGGCGAGTGCTGAGGCGTCCTTAAGGAGCGCAGCCGGCTTGGTCAGCATAGTTGGCCGGGCGTGCAGCACGGGGCAAGCTGACAGGATGTGACCCTTAAAGCCGCTCCATTTACGAAAGGCAAACCCGCAATGCCTGCAGGTGGGTAGCCCGTGTAAGCTATGCAATGCGATGTCAACCTCCTGTCTCGCCTTGCCCTTCTGTAGGTCTGGCCTGACGAAGCTAATTTTGTGCGTGCGCGCACAGTGCGTGCGCATCGAATGCAGACTGTCAAAGGTCCTTGGACATTGCGGGCACTGAAAACTGTGCTGTTCAGGGTGAATGGGCTTATGTGAGGTATTGGTCTGCGCGGGGTTGAGGAAAGAGTGGTGCACAGTCTTCTGCCACTGTATGTCCTCAACAATGCCGGGGTAGGTGTCACGGCACGACATCAGCGCATCAAGCCGGCGTTTGGAAGCATCAACAAGAAACACAGCAATACTAGTGTAATGTAGCCGCTGGAAAATGACCTCTGCTGACTCACCGTCTTCTTTCCGTGGGTTGCCGCTGATGCAGCACACGTGGTGGGCCTCTAAGCTAGTGAGCCTCTTAAGGGCCTGAGAGGAAGTACCGATTACGGCTAGTCCATAGCTAATAGTGCTGCGTACACAGGTGCGATACACTCTCAGGCGGTGCTGGAGGCTGAGGCCCTGCTGCTTAAAAAGGACACGGCTGAGCCTGGCTACGGCAGTCTTGGCTTGTTGTATGCGAAGGTCTGCTGTTTGGGTCTCAAAGGCATCAAAGGACATGATGGTACCGAGGTAGGGTATGCGGGTGGCAAGTCCTATGTCAATGGGCTGAAAGGGGGTCCCCAGCCTTATGAGCTTCAGGTCCTTACGTTTAAAGGTACGTGCCTTCACCCACTTGGCAAGTGCCCGGCCCGACGAGCGAATGAGCAGCTGGGATTTGTCTGGATTCACTTGCATCTTGGCTTCGCCCAAAACTGCAAACAAGCAACCAATGCGGGTACACATGTTAGTGAGGTCCTGTTTGTTGTTGAGGCCAAACGATACTAAGAAATCATCTGCGAAGGCTGTTATCGCTTGCGAAATCCAGGGCTCTGGCGGGCCAAGGTGCGAGAACTTGGCAAGGCGCTCTGAGAGCTGATGTAGCAAGAAATGTGACACACATACCCAAAGCAGCGGCGACAGTGTGCATCCCTGTCGTATGCCGTTACGTAAGGATATGCAACCAGTGTGCCCTTTGTGTGTGATATGATACTGGGCGCGGTGCAAGGCAAGAACCATTTGGATGGTGTTTTCATCTACTTCGAGGTGTCTAAGAGCTCGGGCTAAGTACACGTGGGGCACCAAATCAAACGCTTTGCTCATATCTAAGCTCAATAGGGCGCCTCCTGAGATGGGGGCGCGGGTTTTGCCAGCCTTCCTGTCGCGGACTTCAATGCGTGCGCTGCAGATTTTATCGCGTATGCGCGCGCAGAAACGAGCTGCTCGGCTGATTGCGCATGCGGTGCTGCGGGAGGGGAGGTATGCAAACTGCGGTGTTGCAGCTAGTTTCTCTAAGATTTCGGCCTGGGTGCGCGCTTTGAGGGCTCGGGCGATGCACTTTCCGAGCGGGTCCTGCAGGGCGATTGGTCGGAGGTTAGGGGCGCATGTGGGGGGTTTGTTGGGCTTAGGGAGGGGCTTAAGCCAGCAATCAGTCCAAATGCTAGGGAACGTCAGCGGTCCTGCACCGAGGCGGTGGTTAATGAGGGGGAGGGCGTGCGGGGCAATGGTTGAGGCGAGATGTTTCCAAAGTTCGGGTGGGGCCGACCCCGGTGGAATGGCTCGGCCGCCTCGCTGCATCTTCAGCGCCTTTAAAAGCTCCTCGAGGGAGAGTGGGCACGGTTGCGTGAGGCAGCAAGCTGTGAGCGGGTGTGCGGCATCACGACAGAACACCTCCGTGAAGTGTTTGAGGATGGCTTCGTGTTCGGCTTGGGGGGAAAGGAGCTTACCATCCGAGGTTCTGATGTGTATGCGTTCTCGGGGGCCTTTCGGGGAGAGTTTACGGACGTGAAAATAAAGTTTATGCATGTCGCCTGCCGTGGCTGCAGCCTCTGCTGCCTCAAGCTCCTCGAGGATTGCAGCTTTGCGCTTCGCAAGGCCGCGTTTGCGCAGCTCGCGGTGTGCGCTCTGGAAGCGCGCGTGCGCCCTGAGGATTGCAAAGGCATTCTGCAGTCGGGTCAAAGCAGGGTTCCAGGTCTTAGCCGATTTAAACTGTCGGTAGGCAACCCACATGGAACTTACGGTGCATCTAACCTCTGCGCTCTGCCCCGGCCGCGGTTTAGGCATGCACTGCTGCAACGGGAAGAGGGCGGCGCAGCGCCTCAGAAGGATATTGTTGAGCTCCGCGGGGTCAGTGGGCCTGACAGTACCGAGCTCGTAATGAACTTCCTGTGCGAGTTGATCAAGCACCGGGTCCTTGCATTTGATGGCTTCACGAAGCAGCTGCCTCGAAAAGGGCAGGGGTCGTTGGGTGGCTGCAGGGCCGGCAGGTGCCAAGCGGGTGTCAACACGAAGGCTGGCGATCAGCGCGAAGTGGTGGCCTCCTCCACGCCAGGGCGCGAAGTTGATGTCACGGTTGGCTCGAGAACGCTTGGCCTGCACGTCTGTGTGTGGCAAAGAGGTAAAGACAAAGTCTATCTGGCTGCGCTTTGGGACCTGACCGTCGAGTAGATAAGTGAAAGCGTCCTTGGCAGGCCCCCACGTGTTTAGGGCGCACAGATTGGCTGAGGTGATGGCCTGCACAAAGTCCGCAGAGTCGGGATACGTAAAGGCAGTTGGGTGCAGGCCTGGGCCAATGTGTCTGGATTGAGCCTTGAGTGCACAATTAAAATCACCTGCGATGCACTTAATGTTGCGGGCCGGCAGGCCTTGCGCAAAGGTGGTGAGCTTCCTCCAAAATGCCTGGCGCTTATCCATGCGCTTCTTAAGCGGGTCCGCATCCCAAGCCCACTGATAGCAGCAAGCAACGTCCATGTGCCGGGCTTGGCGGTCGCGGCCTATCGGAAACCTTACGTGCAACAACCGTCCGGGCACAACAATGCAATGCTGGAGCGAGGCTTCGGCAGCGATGCGTGTAGAGACGAGCACTGCTACACCTGCCCAGCGGTGGCCTGGGTCAGGTGAGCTGATCACAAACCATCCCGGCAAAGTGTACTCGCTAGGTGCCTTGCCTAAACCGAAGTGTGTTTCTTGCAGCAAGATGAGGTCGAAGCGGTGACCGTTGGTCTGCAGCCAAGCGGTAAAAGTGTCATATGAGGCAGTACAAAATCCTCCTACGTTAAAGGAGCAAACCCTAAGTCTCTCGCCCGCTGCCTGGCGGCAAGCTTGGCCGCGGCGCTGAGTGTGAGCAGAGTCCTCCTGCAATGGTGGTTTGCAGCCAAGGCCGGCGGCAGTGCACAATCGGCCTTTGTAAAATGTTGTGCCGTCGGGAGAAGCAAGTGCTCTTCGGCAGGCCCTCCTGTAGGCACGCTTTGCAACTCGAATTCGTAAAGGCGTGGAAGCCCCGCTGCCTATCTTCGCTGGCCCGCTAGAACTGTTTAGCTGGACCTGAGAATCAGCTTGCACAGCACTGGCAGCGCGTGCTGTAACCCTCGCATCTGCAAGGCCTTCTCTTGTGTTCTGAGGTCGTGGCGCAGATACCTTGCCCGGGGACTTGGGACCCCGGCGGCCCAGAGAGCTATCAAAGGCAGGTCTATTGCTAGGTGTTGCTCGGCTAGGTGCTGGTGCAGAGGTTGTGTTGTCAGCTTCAGCAACTGGTTGCAGTCCCGGCGGGGGGTTGAGGCAAGCGAACAATGAAATCATGAAATGCCACAAGCACGTGTAAAATGCAACCATGCAAAATGCCACCATGCGAAACTAAGCAGCTACCGTCTCAGAGCACCGACGCCCGTAAAATGTGGGTAGTGATGAGCACCTGCAATCTACCCCGCCCCACTCACCTACAAGAAGCTCGGGCCGAGATGCTTACTCAAAAACTCACTCCGACGGACGCGTCCACCTCGCGAAAGCCATCACGGAGGTCAGCAAGACGGTGAGCCTGAGGGTAACCCAGCTGGCATTCGAAGCTTCTGTGTCTTGGACAGCATTGCTTGGGAAGCCTGGAGTGCCCTTAGTCATTGTTGCGCGAGTGGTGCTCAGACCTCAGACAGTCCCACTCCAGATTCTCAGGTGGCGTATGTCTTGCGCGCGCGAGTGGAATTCACGGACTGCGTACATTTCACAGTCGCAGACTTATTGGAGCAGTGACATTGAGACAGAAGCTTGCTTGACATTTTAGATAATAAGTGTTTAGCCCGCTAAGATATTCATCGATGGCAGCGACATCGGCCAGAGACCGACGGAGGTGGTCATGATTTGGTCGCAGGAAAAGCAGATTGGCTGTTATGCCCCCCCTATAGCACGCATCTCAGATCACCGCAGCATGCTGCGTTGCAAGAAGTGTTGTTTCCAAATGTGACGCTACCAACTCACAGCTGTTGGCTCCAACACTTATAATCGTGTAACGGCGCTGTTCATGGCATTTCATGGCGGCCCTGGTTGACTTTTCCAGTCCGCGACAAGGACGCCCGAGCGTCACAGACATTTCGCGGTACACAGTTACGCGTGTGTCTGGTGAGTCAGATGATGATAGTGAGCTTCATGGCCCGCGACCGGTTCCGAGCCAAAGTTTGTCGGATGGCAGTTCCCACTCCTCTTTCGGGACACCTCTCGACGCCCCTAGGCTAAGAATGGAAGCTGATCCTTGTCCAGAAATGCTGAGTACATCTACGGTTCCGGCAGACGAGTCCATGCTTACCACTGCCACTCGGGCCACCCAGATGACTTGGTCTGTTTTGCACCAGCTACTTCCAGCTTGGTGCATAGAGGCCGCTTGGTCGACAGTAAGCCCAGACATCTCTTCTTACAACAATCACCATTGCACCTTGCACTTACCTAGGCATGCTTCCTTCGGTCTCGTTGCACGACGTCATCCTCCTGCACCGGGGCATACACTGCAGAGATGTGTATGGCCGTCATCATGAAGACGATCAATGATTCACATCTACTCCAACACAGATGCACTTGGAAGTCGGTAATGTGCCATGTGCCTGGGTTGCACCTTGGGCGTGCAGTTCTCCTATAAGTATGCGTGAGTGCTGTGCGATTGCACGAGGAAGCCGACCCAGCTTGCCGTCAACTCATAATCGACCACCACAAGTGGCTGGCTTCCTTCACGGAGGATTCCCACAGCCGGTGGCTGCCGTGTGTGTTCGGAGACATCATGGAGCAGGTACATGGCAGCGTGGACATGTCCAGTGGGAGTTTTGAATGCAAGAGACGACGCGTCTCTGCGGCTGCGTTGCAGCAGTGGCAGCACTGCACGACTCATGCTAGACAGTGTCGCGTGGACACACCTGTGATGCTAGACGTGTCGGGGCTGCCGTGCCCGGACAACAGCCGAGCAAAGCGGGGTCGCTTGTTCCAGGAAGGGCCCAGCGGCAAAGTGTACATAGCTTGGGCAGCGCAGCACAAGCTCAAGCAGACCCCACTGCTCATTTTGGAGAACGTGCCCGCCGCTTGGCGTTAGCATGAGGTAGCGACGGCAGTATATTGTGCACGATTGTGATTCCATGGTTCGGTTTTTCCTAGGACATGAAGATGACGGCCATTGCGGCATTGCTGGAGGATGACTATCTGGTCATTCCTTTGAGAGTTTCCCCCAGCGACGCAGGGCACCATGGTATCTCCCGTGACAGGCTTTATGTCTTCTGTTCGCATCGGAAAGCCGGCAGATACCTCTACGATGTGCACGAAGCCTATGCGTGTGTCAGCAAGAAGTTGCGCCGGTACATACACACGCGTCCCAGGGACTACTTCGTGGCCTCCGACACAGACATACACCTGGACGCCCATAGGATCGCGACACAGCGGCGGGTCCCATTCGCTCCGGAATCTCGCCTCAAGAAGATGTTTTGTGTTTGCATTATATTCAATCCTTGTGCTGCTGTCCCGTGCAGTATGTTTGAACGTCCCAGGGCGTGCGAGACCTGAGCTATCTGCTCAACTCCAGAGAGCTCGAGCAGAAAGCGGGGTACGAGCTCCACTACAGACTCCGCTTTGGCGGCAATGCGGAGGACGATGAGGACTGTTGTGTATATCTAGGCGACAATGTTCTTTGGACAGTGACATGGTCTGCGGTAAGTGGGAGAATCCCCACCTTGCGCCGCGGCAGTGGCAAAATGTGGAACTGCTCCAAGCAGCGATGGATGTGTCCCGTGGAGAAGCTGGCATGTCACGGCTATCCTTGAGACATTCTATAAGCCTCAGAACCACGATTCCATGGGTTCTATTTATTTACGAAAAAAATACGAAATAAATACGAATTGGAAATACGATCCTACTTTTGGCCCACGATAACAGATACGAAAAAAATACGAAAAAAATACAGATTGGAAAACACGGTTGCAATATGGGTAGTTCTGGTACACTAAAAATCATTCGGATACTGCCACATCCCTGCTTGCATACTTTTACCGTGGCCGTTACACACTTTTACACCTCTCTGACACTGATTCTGATGGGACTG